AAAAAAAAAAAAAAAAAAAAAAAAAAAAAAAAAAAAAAAAAAGAACTGGGATTACCATTACCCTTCCTAAGTGCCTTCCAGAAAGAGCACACCAGCTGATACTGCCACTAGCAATTTAGGAGAAGGCACCTCCTTCACCAGCGCCAGCACTGTTATTTTTTAAATTCTGGATCATTTGATACATTAAATATGGCTTGTCATTTTGGTTAGTCTGGTACCTCCCCTGCCAGCTGGGAGTTCAACCCAAGGCCTTGGCACTGAACTACATCCCAGCTCCTCGTCTTTCTGAGTCAGTCTTGCTAAATTGCCCAGTGGGGTTCCAACTTTCAATTCTCCTGCCTCAACCTCCCCAAGTGCTGGGATTACAGGTATGTGCCATCACACCAGGCTGGTCTATCTTTTGAGTGGGGAGACTGAACCCTTATTAGCTTTTAATAGGTTCATCAGCCTTTACCCAGCTCCCTTTTAGGAAATTATCAGCTCCTAGAAGTTCCTACTCACTGCAAAGAACATGGAACATACTCTAGAAATCCAATTTTGTGCTTGATGTGGCGGTAATCCATTACCATAGTATAACCAAGAACACTCTAACCTTCCACACTTCTGCCCACTCTTCTAGTGGCAGTATGGTAGAGATTACAAATTGTTACCTTAAATCCTTTATTTACTTTAGTGCCAAGTCCCAACCTAAAGCTGGAGACATTTTAGGAACCTGATCGGAGCAGACAGGCAAGAGCAGAACTGATCATCTGGCCCCAGAAGGGCCATGTGGGGCTTCCTAGCGGTCCCCTTTCTGAGGGAGGACACCGTCACCACCTCTGCAAGTTCTGCTGCAAATGTGGATGTGAGGTCTGCTCTGCAGCCACCTGAGCAGGAAAACCAAGGCCACCGTGGGGATGGTGGGGTGGTCAGACTGCAAAGAGCCAGCATGATTTCTCCTCTTTCCACCTCTAACTGTGGTGACTTCACAGAGCTACCAACCGCCCTGAACCGCTCCACTCCACGAGAGGGAAATGCCCTGCTCCACCAGAGCCCCACGCTCCCCACTGCGTGTGTGCAGCCCTCAGCCAAGGGCAGGGCGGGCGGGCAGGCACTGTGCAACCAGCCTACCAGGCCGACCAGCCTACCAGGCCGTGAGGCACAGCTCCACCTGCTCCACCGGGAAATGCTTTCCAGGATGCTTATGTTGTTTCCTACCCACAAGTTTTCAAACTTTTCAATAACCAACTCTGCTTCTTCCTTTTGTTTCTCAATTTTCTTTACTCTTAGTAAATCTCCATGTGACATTTTTGAGAAAAGGATACAGTTTCTGTAAGTGGATCCAAGTTACTAGAAAAAAAAAAAGAAGAAATGTCAACAGTAATAGGCAGTGTTCACAAAAGCCAGTTTAAATAAGCTTGCTCAAACTAAAAGGAACATGCTGGAAGGGAATGAAATGTGCTTCATCCACAGCTCTAAACCCAGCATGGAAGCCAGGAAGACAGCTTCAGCTGTATGGCCGCCACAACGAGCTGTCACAGACCCTATAAAGGTGTCTACACATTTTCCTTTAAGCGCTTCTTTATAAATCATTTAATAGTTATAAAGTACATCAGAACCTCCCATGGCCATAAACTGCTAGCGGAACTGGGGCCCAATTAGGCATGCACCTGGGACAGACAGACAGAAGGTTACACTCATGTGCTGCCCATACGACAAGAGCATCCTCGCTGTCTCTGCACTTTCCCCAAAGACTTCTCTTTCCACCTCTCATTGTGGGAACCCCCACCGGGCTCCGCCTTCCCATACTTCTCACCATGTCCTTGGAGGAGGTCCCTCACCCCGGCCTCCCGTCACACCACCCCAAACCCACACTCCTGAAGCCCACCTCCTCCGTGGCAGCCTGCTCAGGCCCCTCTCTTTCCTCCCCTCAGTGGAGCTACAATTTTGCCAGGCTCAAAACCAGCTACTCTAACTCTCTCCTTCCCATTTCTCATCAAATTCTTCTCTGGGGAGCCTTATGATGCCTGACAGCCAGACTGCATTTCTCTAGTCCAACAGTTCTCAGCCTTTTTGGTTTCAAAACCACCTTTACACTAAAAATGTAATCACACTTTTTTTATATGGGTTGTGCCTATTAATATTTTAAAATCTAAAATAGTAACTCATTTAAAAATACATAATAGGTTATACGTTAACATTAATACCTTTACCAAGAAATCACTGAAATTCAAAAGAAACTGGAGACAGTGGTATTATTGTAAAGTTTTGCAGCCAGGCATAGTAGTGTACGCCTGTAATCCCAACACTTGGGAAGCTGAGGCAGGAGGACTGATGTGAGTTCAAGGCCAGCCTGCACTACACAGTAAGACCCTATATCAAAATAAGTAAGCAAATAAATAAATACAAACAAAGCTTTACAATGTCTGGCTTAATGAAAGACAGCGGAATTCTCCCATATTTGTTATGCCTGCTGTTCAAAGATCATACATCCAGAAAACTTCACTGTCTGCTTGTGGGAGGATATGGGTAAAAGGCCGGGCACCTTGGCATTATGAAACAGTTTGTCCTTGCAGAGCTCCAGATGCCATCTTGGGAGTCCACAGAGCCTGGCCCACCTGGACAATAGCTCCGCTCTATCCTCTCCTCTTTAAAGGCTCTGGCTTACCTGCCTCTCCCACGGGCTATCTGTTTCATCATAGACCACACACAGCAGTCCCACCACTGACCCACCCGCTAGCGCCTCTGCACCAAGGCGCTGCTGCTTGTCCATCACCCGTGCAGTTCGTCACCATGCAGGACCTTCTCCCATAAGCTTCTCCTTGCACCTGCACCCTCAGTTTCTGCCTCTTTCCTGCAAGAAACGTCCAGCTCTGATGCTCAGCAGCCAGCAGCAGCTTTCTGTGCTGTTCCCCACTCTGCCTGAAGTGCTCTCTTCCTGGCTGCCCGCACCCCACCAGTGGGTCTTCCTCCCACCTCAGGAGGCCGCTCGGTCTCCTTTACTGTGGCCCCTGGTGTCCCTGGATGTATCCTAAAAACCTACACTCATTCCATCACTCATGTCGCCTGTCTCCATCTCTACACACTGTCATTCTCAGATTCCTCTTTGGTATGCACCGAACATCCGATCTCCCACCCGGATGTGTACCAAAAGAAGCCGAAATCATAGGATGGCCACCAGAGGCCGAGGCCTGGTGCCTCTTGCTCCTGTACTTGCTCTACTCCAGCTGGTATCCACACACTCCCTTCCTCCCCTCTGCCTTTCTCCAGGGACAGCTGCCCTGAACACCAGACTTACAGCTGAATCCCCACCACTCCATTCTCCCTCCCTGCGCACTACGTTCTACATATTGTATTTACCATTCTACTTGTTTCCTCTCTAAAAGGCAAATTCCCAAGACGTCAATTTCTTTCTGTTAACTGCTGTGTCTCAAGCGCTGGCACACAGCAGGCACTCAAACATTTGTCCAAAAACAGATGTGAAATTTATTACAATGGTCTGTATCCCCGGCTGATTTCAATTTCTACTGCAACACCTAACCCACGGGATTCCCACTGTTTCCCACCAGAAAGTCCCAAGAAAAGTGAGAAAGAGTGGTTTACTCCTCCAATCACCTCACACCCCACAGGGCTGGCTGTTTGAAAGTTCGTGGCCCCTCCACACCTGTGCATTCTGCCCCTCTACCTTTAAGCTTGCAAACTCTTTCCCTGTCATCATTCCCTGAACAACAAAGTAAGGAAGTGCAGGCATTCTAAGTAATCAAGAGCTGAGAAAAGTAACAGAAGGTCGACAGGTTAAATGCAAAAAACAGGCCATCTGCATCATAAAGGACTTATGCACCACTGGATTTATGTATCCATGGGGCGTCCTAGGACCAATCCCCCAAGGACACCAACGGGTCTTAAGAGTTCTGTAGCAGTGGTTTCCAAACCGCTGAGAATCTGCATTTGCAAAATATTCCCTGTGGCCGGGGACTAATCTTTTAAGACACAGCAGAACCAAACCATCTCCTCAGATAAGACTCCTCGTCCAGGGCTCCGTGACTTGAAGTTCACCTGGACATGCACTACTGACTTCACCACAAGGAAGGGGTAACACCTCACAGACTGCGAGGATCAAATGGACTCAGGAGCACTAGGGGAGGGACAAAGGCCCAACAGAAACTTCTTCCCACAGATCTCACGGCCTCAGCACGGAGCCAAAGCCCGGCTTCACGTGTGTCTCTGGCTGTTAGGTTACAGAACCACCGCTTCACACGCGCGGGCCCCCCACTGTCTGATCACAGGTCCCAAGACCTAGTCCTCCTCCCCGCTCCGTCTCCACCGCGGGTCGCTGCCTCCGCGAGCTGCCCCAGGTCCCGGCGCAGAGCTCCGATCACCCTCCCGACTCTGACGCGGAGCCGCCTGGTTTGCACACACTGGGCCCACCTCCGCGCTTGGACAGAAGTGTGACCAAGCCACCCCGGCAAAACGACCCCTGCACGATCCCGGTGGTCTTCACAGGAGCTCGCGAAGGAATTCTCTAAGCTTTTTCAGGGCTTAGAGATTTCCATAAAAATTTCTTTTCATAAAGAGCGCCCGCGAGTCACCGGCCTCGCCGAACCGGGCCAGAGCACAGGTCCTCTCGCCGAGGGACCCCAGCCGGACGCGAGGACCCGGCGCCCGCTCCCCCGGCCGCACCCGCGCTGCGCGGGAGCAGGAGGAGCCGGGGGATTCCCGCCCAGTGAGGGGATGGGCGGCCACGGCGCGGCACTCACATGTTGTTGAAGCGGAACAGATCGTCGCAGGTGAAGGCCCGCAGAGTGGTCATCGCGCCTGGGCGCCGACCCAGAGCCGGCTGGCCGACCCCGAGCCGGTTCGCCACTACCCTGCGTCCGTCCTGCCGGAAGTCACTCCGCGCACGGCCGCCGAGGGGCGGGGCCGAGAACTACTTCCGGGCAACAAATCGCGCGGCCACGACGGCAAACGATGCAGCTCCATCTGGCGGTCGGAGTCTGAAATTGCTAGGCCACCTGTGTAGGGTTCCAGCTTTGGAATCTCAAATTGCCCAGGACCACGTTTAAAAACATGAGAATAAAGCTGAAGTTGATTCTATATTTTATTTCACCCAGGATATCCGAAATATTATTTTAATATATCATCAATACAAGAAAATTGAGAAAATATTTCATCTTTTTTTTTTTCAGTGTTCAGCCTTTGAAATCTGTTGTATTTTACACCTGCAGTATGTTTTAATCTGAAAGAGAAATTGTCATGGAAAATTCTTGTTTGTTTGTTTGTTTTGAGACAGGGTCTCACTATGTAGTGCAGGCTGGCGTTGAATTCATACCTCAGACTCCCCAGTGCTGGGATTACAGGCATGTGCATACCATACCTAGCTATAATGGGAAAGTCTTGTTCTGGATTTGGATTTCATAAAATGTCTGGTTACAAAGCACATGTCCACACCCGAGTGGTCCCACGTATGCTGTTTCCAAATAACTGAAAGCACCATCACCTTTTAACTTTAAATTTAAAATAGTTAACATTGCCTAGTAATCCCTCCACTTGGAGGTCTGAACCAGAAGGATCACCCTGAGTTTGAGACCAGCCTGGGCTACACTGAGACCCTGTCTCAAAAATTAAAGAGTTAACTGTAAAAGTTAAGAATTCTGAACCAGGCATTGTGGCACATGCCTACACTCTGGGAGGCTGAGGCAGGAGTGTCTCAAATTTAAGTATGTTCTGGGCAATTTAGTGACTTAGAGAGACCCTGTCCTATAAAATAAAAAAGGACTGAAGAGGTAGCTCAATGTGAAGTCTTTGGGTTTAATCTCCAGTACATGTACACACACACACACACACACACACACACACACGCGCGCGCGCGCACACACACACACACACACACACACACACACACACACCTTGGATTTGACGCTAAGGCAGCACTTGGCCCCTGACAATACAGGGTGCTTTGGGCCACTGGTTTGTAACTATGGATAGAAACCGATCCAAAATCATCCAGTCGCCCCTGGACAAGGGCAGATGTGGGAAGTGGCTGGAGCAGGGATAGCACAGGGGACCTGAGGCGTCCCACTAAGCCTAGGATCAGCATCTCAGAGGGCGCCTACTGGTGCCCAGCCTGGCCGGGTGGAGGGCAGAGGGCACTCATGGCCCAGCTGCACCTTCTGCCCGTGGCACGGTGGGCTAAGAGTTAACGCCTAAAGCCCTGAGCACTGTGCCGGCCTCACACTATATGCAGCTACCGGAAGTCAGGGGAACAGATCCTATGGCCTTGTTGGGAGCCTGGCATTCAGGGTGGAGGGTACAAGGACTGGTGAACCCCCAACTAGGGACCCCCAAACTTAGCTCTGCAGTGCCAGCACCCTGGAGCCTCACCTCACATGCAGGGGGCCTTGAAGTGGCCTCTGCATCCACACTCTTGCTCAGTGGCTCTTTACAAATACATCTGGGGGCTGCTTGCAGTGGGAAAGGCCTGCACTGCTTTAATAAAAGGGACACGAGTGCAGTTTTAAGAACTGGCAGCCGAGGGCAGTGGCAGAGGCCTGTGATCCAGTTGCTTGGGAGGCTGAGGCAGAGCAAGTGCAATGTCAGCCTGGGCAACTTAGCAAGATGAGGTGTTGAAATAAAATGCGAAGAGAGCTAGAGTTGTAGCTCAGGGATGGAGGACCCCTAGGTTTAACCCCCAGTTCCAGAGAACAAAGGAACAAAAAGGGAGGGAGGGAGGGAGAAAGGGAAGAAAGAGAAACTGTAGGCTGGTGGAAATGTACAAGGAAGAGAGTAGCAGACCACTCAGAATCGTGCCGCCCAGGAATAAGCCGAGTCTAACCCTGCAGAGCTTCAGACATCCTCTGTGTAGTTTTTATTTGTTTATTTTTGGGGTGCTGAGGATGGAAACCTGCCTTGCACACACTAAACACTGCATTACAAAGCGATGCATAGTTAGCGAAAGCAAGGGACTTTTACTTCAGAGGGGCTCAGATTACATATGATGACATTAGATAAAAAGAATTAATTTTCCTTGCATGTAACAGAAGAAAAAAGAAGTGAATTCAAACTGAGGAGATTACTCAGCACACAGAAATATGGATATCCAAGTTTCTTCTAAAGTTTAAGATATGTATATTATATATGTGTTAAATATGATTTCAATCTCTTTAATGACTTTCATTTCACTTCATGAAGTGGTTGAAATCATATTTTTTTAATGTAAACTTCAATTTAGGGCACCTTTGACTCAGTAATGGATGAGGAACTGATACAGATTTTTTTTTTTTTTCCGCAGCATCTGCCCTGCTCTGGGGATGAACTATGTGGCTGTGCTACTGTTACTTTTCAAGATTTAAATTTACATAAGAGTTACAAGTATTCACCCGCCCCCCACCCAGTTGCTTGGTTTTAAGTCTATAAATGTACATGTAACACAATGTCATTTTCAGTACTGTTTTCCCATTCCATTCTTCCTCTGTGTGTATGTGTGGGTGTGTACATGTGTGTGGTACTGAGGATTGAATCCAGTTGTTACACTGAGCTATATTCCAAGCTTATTACACTGAGCTATATTCCAAACCCATTTTTTTCATTTTTTATTTTAAAGCAGTCTACCTAAATTGTCCAGGCTTGCCTCAAACTTGGGATCTGTCTCATTCTTCTCAATGCTGAAACAAAATACCTAACACCCAAAGTTAAAGGAGGAGAGGTTTACCTTGGCTCTCATTTGTAGAGGTTTCTGTCCATGGTTGGCTGGCTCCAAGGCAGGGTGGCATGGCAGAGGGCAACAAAGAGGAGAAACAGTCCATGGCAGGGCAGGCAGGAGGCAGCAAGGCAGCAGCAGGGAGCCTTCCTTTCCCCTTTATCCTGTGCAGGCTACAAGCCTCTTGGGTGTTGCCACCCACACCCAGGGCTGACCTTTCCGTTGTTCACACCCAGAACTAAGTTAAACCAAGTTTCTGGAGCGCATAGTAAGGTCTTCCCCATTATCCTTTGTAATGGGGTGTTGTTAATGATAGCACTTCCAGAATAGACCACATCTGATGGTGCATACATTTAAATTCCAGTCACTCAGACAACTCCAGCAATTAATGCTGAAATTTACCTGGAAATTCAAATCCAAATCATTCCTAGGTTTCTGGTAGGATCATGAGCTTGTTCAGCCTCTCTCTGGCAGTTTTTTTTTTCTTACCAGCAGCAAAAGCAGCTTCCACTTCCCTGGCCAAGGCCTCTCTGGGGTAATGAGCTGAAGATAGGAAGAGTTCTGCTTACCCTAAACCTACAGGTGACTGACTATATGAGCCAGAGTCAAAAGCCTGAGTCCTGCATGATTCCATTTATGGGATAGTCTGCAAAAGGTAGAATTATGGGAGCAGAAAACAGATCAGTGGTCGTCCAGGGCTGGGTTGTTGGGGACCGTGAGGGATCAGGGGGCTACATGATCAAATATGTCTGTCAAAATTCATAGAATGTAGCCAGGCTTGGTGGTGCACACCTATAATCCAAGCACTCAGGAGGCTGAGGCAGGAGAATCACCAAGAATTGGAGGCCAGCTTGGGCTACACAATTCAAGGTCAGTCTGAACTACACAGTGAGACCCTGTCTCAAAAGACAAAAACAAAAGAACCCCCCCAAAAAAATTTATAGAATGCATACTAGAAAGAGTGGATTTCACTGCATCCAAGTTATGCTTTGGGCTGGCTGTATAGCTCAGTGGCATAAGTGCCTGCCTGGTAAGCACAAGGTCCTGAGTTCGATTCTCAGTACAAAAAAAAAAAGCAAGTTATGCTTTAATAAAGAATCACATGAAACTCCAGGGAGCCCACGGTTGCCTGCGCTCCTAGGACATGCTCTTACTGATTTCCATCTCAGTGCATGTGGCTTTATTTTTACCACACAGGAAAACAGTTTCTGTCCCAGCTGCACTTTTTCCCTGAGTTAAAGATGACTCACATTGAGTAATTCCTTTTCCTGCTTAGTTGGAAAAAGAAGACAAGCTTTTACCACATTTAGTCTCAAACTGTTTTCCTGCTCATTGAAACAAAACACCATGTGCTCTCTGTAAATAGTGCTGACCCGATTCATGGCTTTTGTTGCAAAATCCCACACCTCACACAGCCCGTGCCGGACAGCTTCAGTTTCATCTGCTGTGGCGCCACCCCTAGTCCTTCAGGTTGTGGGACAGGCACAAAGTGGACAGCAAATCCACCTCTGATATCCCCTAGGCAAGACCAGCAGCTCGGGTGCTGGGTGGGAACCTTGTTTACAAATTTCATTTTTCTATAAAATAATAAGTGGATGCACTGACCCTCACAATCAATATGGTAATCTGTCTTCAGCTTTGCCATCCAAGATGTGCAGATGTGCTCACCATTGAAATTAAAATTAAAACCTTTCAGTCACTTTTGGGGAAATTAAAATTAAAACCTTTCAGTCACTTTTGGAGCTTTCAGTCACTTTTGGGGAAATGGATGCACCCTGAAACCATAATGCTAAGTGGAATAAATCAGACACACAAGCTTCAGTACTGGATAGCTTCTCTTCCATGAGAACCCAAAGTAGAGCTGGGGATATAGCTCAGCGGCACGAGTGCTTGCACGCAAGCCTGAGGTCATGAGTTGATTCCTAGTACCAAAAAAAACAAAGAAAAGAAAAAAACCCAAAGTAGAAATAAATGAAGGAGCAAAACAAAAGACGACTAGATTTTTTTTTTTTTCTCTCGTCTTTTTGAGACAGGGTCTCACTGTACAGTTCAGGCTGGTCTTGAACTCACTTTGTAGCCCAGGCTGGCCTTGAACTCTTGGCAATCCTCCTGCCTCACTCTCCCAAATGCTGGGATTACAGGTGTGTGCCACCACACCCGGGTAGTTCTTTGGCAAAAGGGAAGGGGACCAAGGGATGGAGGGAAGGGGAGA